ATGAAGAAGTATTTTTGACAGTTGAACAACTTTTATTTAAACAAATGCACTTTTAAAATTACAAGTCAGAAGTGAAAGAAAAACTTTCAAACCAAAGATATAGCTTTCATTTTGAAAATTTTCACTGTTAATTCAGGAAACTTTTATTTTAAATTTGCATTATTTTTATAGCAACAATTTTTGTTTTTTTGTGTGTAACAACTTTTTATTCTGTGTATATTTACTGAAATTTCGACATTATTTCACCTATTCATTTGCTGGCGAAAACAAAACTAAGAGTGTATGTTAATGTGATGCGATATTGTAGTTTTTATTTTGCAAAATTATTTAACATGTCCTTATTCATATTTTTAATTTGCAGAAATTCAGTAAATTGTTTTGTTTTACAGCCAAATACTTTACCGAGCTCTACCGAGTCACTATTTTATTGCTGAGATTTTCAGTAAAAATTGATAACTGCAGTTTTAGGGTTGCTAAGATCCCCGGAAACTTTGTATTTTGCCAAGATGATTGCCGATCACTCGGCTGTGGCAATCTCGGCAATTTATGAGATTCGGCAAAAAACCTAAGCGTGCAGATTAAAGCCACGCCGAAGTAATGTGAAATTAAATATTTAATACCAAAAAAAATTACCTTTTGCATTGGTAAACTAGTTTCAGCATTTCAAAAGAAAAGAAAAGAACTGTAGTCAATTTTGATTGTGACTCACTTACATCGTATATCTTGAATATCATTTAAGTTAAAACATAAACATCACCTTCATTTTTCGGAACGAATGATTGAGTAAACCTTCAGCACAATTCTACACTTCCTCTACTCCCATGAGACTTTCAATCACACAGTTTACGTACGGTATACTGAAGGAAGAGTGAATGAGTTCCTGGGAACCAATTTCCCAAAATATACACATTTATACCATGAACTGATGGTGCCGGCTGGAACAAGTGCCAACTGCCAACTGACTTTCTTTTGTCTGCATTGATTTGAAAATACATAAAATTTTCCTCTCAAGTTCATGGATGTCAGTAGGGTAAGTGGGCCAATTTCGGCGCTAGTGCTCCAGTTTTTGGCCCTAAGGTCTAACTCAAATTAGATGTGTACTTTCATAATTTAATTCACGTACAGATATGGCAAAATATATAATCCAACCGATGTGTTGAATAAATTATGTAAACAAGGAAAACAATTGAAAATTAAGATAGGGTCAATCAGATGACCAGTAGGGCCAAAAACTGGCACACTTATCGCAATGGTTAATAAAACAACATCCTTGGCTAGATTCATAACCACAAAACTTTAAAACGTGGTATTTTTTGTGAATTCAAATAATATTAAGCAAACTAGACCAAATCGATCACAACAAGTACCAAGAATAGGTCATAAAAGAACGATATCAGATTCACTGCGACTGAACTGGGACCGAATAATAATGGCTCTTTTAGGATATCGCATCATACAGAAAAAAAAGTTGAGGAGAGAGTACTCCAAGAATGGGAAAAATTGAGTCTGTTTACGAATGACTTCTTGGAAATATGCGAGAACCATTTAAAGGGCATCACCAACAGCATCAGAGTTGTTTAGTGGAGGATGGAATTGCAGCCATATACAGTAGGTTAACACGCTGCGCTGATGCAATGTGTCGTGGGCATTCTCCGGATGATGAAAGAATAAGATCAATCGTGCCTTTCGGGGGCACGGCTTGGAATGGGAAAACGCGACACGCTGAAGAATTTTTGGCAGTAAAACTGAATGCGTGGAGATTATGTTTACGACTTCTTAAGACGTTCGAGTCACAATATGTCAATGAGCTATTTAGAGTGAATCTGTTTTTAATAGATGTACTTTGGCAGTGCGGGCCCGTTAGCGTTTGATGAGTTTGGGAATGTTGGGAATGAATGTTTTTTTTTAATTCCTTTGGATTGATTCATCTAATCGATTTAAAGTCAGTTCCATACCATTGATGGAAATTTGAAATGGTCGTTTGACGTTTTTTACCATATGATTACTCAACTTAAGTAATTTTTTTTCCTATAACATGAAAATGATATATTGTTTTATCTATTGATCATTCAAATGCTCTCCAGATAAAATTATTGCTAGCTGATGCTAAGAAGTTATCTTTACTATTATTAAGGAGACTTTCAGCCGAACGCTGGTTCGTCTCCGTGATGCTAAGAACGAATCTTATTAATCCAGACATACCATGTTGCAATGCAATTTTGCATTGCAACATGGTATGTAGATTGTACAATTTATGGCATGGTTCTTTTTGTTTGGTAAATAATATCATACATCTTCAGCTCACTCTCAGCTGTTGTCAAGTTGAAACCGACAGCAGGTGAGGATCACGCGATAGCTGTGTATTGTATTTTGTGCGCTATATTTTTTCCGCTGATCGTTTATCCGACTTTAACCCTCTCGTAGGCCTCCCTTAGCTCAGTCGGTAAAGACGCAGCTACAAATTATAACTATGGTGGCTGGGTTCGATTCCTGGTCTAATCTAGGACTTTTTCGGGTTGGAAAATTTCTCTACTTCCCTGCACACTTAGAAAATATTACCCAACTCGGTTTGATTTCAACCGAGTTTATATCTGCTGAACGCTCGGTAGTCTGTTCGGTTCAAAGATGAATAACCGAGCTGTCGTAAGTTCTTTTGGCTACCCACAATCTGTCAAAGTTATCGAAAATCTCGGTTGATGAAAAATAAATCCAAGCAGAAATAACCGAACATCGGTTTACTCAAGCATTACCGAACGCTGTCAAACAAACCGACCCACCTGTTGTAATTACGGAATTCGGTTCTCTTGGGCAGCGCTCGGTTTTCACTTCAAATCCTGCTTTAAATTTGGATTGAGGATACGTTGCTTCGAATTTTCATAAAAATAAGACCAGTTTTGTCAAAGACATGTATGAAATACATTTATTGAATTTGTTTTGGCGAATAAAAACTTCCGAGTTGCAGCGTGGAAAAGTACAGTCAAAAGAAATATGTTAGTGGATTTCCTATGTTTCGAGGGGTGAATCGATTAGCTTGGGACCGAAGATAGTACCAGAGCTGAGCCAAAAAGTTGAGCACGTTTCTTCGGGACATATTAGTCTTGGAGTTACCTCTATTATTATACTGCAAAAATTGTACAAGCATCGAAAGTTCCGAGGGGCACGCAATACAAAGAACAATACAATGAAGTTAAAATGCAATCAAAATTAATTAAAGTAATTAATGCGTTTTGAAGTAGTACTGGCGTTAATTAAAATTATCTATCCGTAATTAATGTTTAATGTAATTAATATACTTTAATTACGAAATTTCAACTGTAATTAATGGAATTAAAAAGTAGTTAATGTTCTATATTGTGTAATTAATGTAATTAAAGCAGTAGTTAATGGAATTAATTTAATAACAGCCGTTGCCTGCGTTGGAGTTAAAGGTTATTGCGTGCCTCTTGGTAAGCTCTCAATTCATAACTGTGGAAGTGCATCTAGAACACTAAGTTGAGAAAACACAATAAGCAATATGCACACCAAAAAATAAGGAAAATTACATGACATGTAAACCAAAACCATTTTAAAATTACATCGCTTTAAACTATGTTTTAATTTAGAGTTGGTTGGAAATGCTAACATGAAGCTTTAGTGTGATAATTTATTAGCTAGAGAATGATCTTTTAGAAGAGAGTAGGTGGATAGTTCCGTTAGAGTACGGCAGTATGAAAATTGAATAGAAGTTGAAAATGAGCGAAGGGCCATTAATGCGTCAGTTTTTAAAGATAGACGCACATCTTTTGCCTAACCCGTACGATGAAGGCGGAGACTTGAAGTATGTCTCCAAGTCTACAGGCAAAAAATGTGCTTCCCGCTTTTGCTCATAAACTTGCTGCGGCTGAGTAAAAGTTCTAGCAACGTTTTCATCACTAACTAAAGCCCCACGTTGCGAGAGCATTTCCAGTCGATGGTGTGTTATAATGCAATTAACCACTTCATTCGAGCAGATAAAATGACGTTTACTACCACTCGAACTTTGAAATGAAACATTATTTTGAGATTTTTTCTTCTAGAACCTCGAGAAAAGTAGCCAAAATTTGTGCGTTTCATAAAAAAAAATAGAAATTAGTTGGTCCAGTTTTGTGAAAACACTGGTAGAAAGTCACGCCAAAACTGCTTGACAAAGTGGTCAATTCTTCTTTACCCAACTATGTATCGGGAAGTTGGCCAACTTGCGTGCGAAGAAAGTTGGAGTTCGCAAGTGAATCGGAAGATTCCGGAAAGATCACCTTGTGTATGGTGTTAAATCGGTGGAACCGCTGCCGAAAGTGAGACGCCATCTTGGGTGATTCGAATGAAAAGTGCTATCGTCAGGCAAAGCTTTGTCTGCGTTGCAGTTTTGTGAAGATAACCATCAGCACGGTGTTCCGTCGGCGGGATTGCACCCGATTTGTGACGCCTTTTGGCGAATCGCGTAATAAATATATCACCCATAGCGGTGAAATTTGAAGCTAGTGCTTTCGTTTGTTGGAAAACTTCGCGTGTGCATGGTGTTGCAGCCGTAGCTGAAAGTGTGACGCCATTTTGATTCGTGCATCGAAAAGAGTGATAATTGCTGGCAAATTTTTGCATACCGCTTGTCCGGACTTTTCCGGTAGTATCGCAGCTGAATTGTGACGCCGTTTGGCAAATCGCGTTGTGAAAATATCACCCATAGCGGTAAAATTGTTGTAAAAAAAAAGTTTGTGCTTTCGTGAAGAAAAGAACGCCACTGCCGTGAGTGCGGTGTTGTGTTGATCGTACTTCTTCAGTGAAGAATTGCGAAGCCATTTTGGCGAACCGTTTGAAGCTTTTGCTTTAGTGAAAAGAAGAAGTCTTTCCCTGATGTTGTGAAGATGATGCACACTCCGAAAAATACAAAAAGCAACGCGCAAGCTGGAGCACAATCCAAAAACGGTGAAGATCAAAAAGACGAACCAGTCAGTGAACAAAAGAAAAAACAAAAGAAAAAAGAAGAAATGAAGAAAATAAACGAAAAACTGAAAGTGATCAAAATCCAATTGGATGCAGTGAGAAGAAAGCTGAACAGGGTGCAGACGGCACTCAAAGTGAATGCGGAGGTGCCAAATTCTTATTTGGAAAATAGGCACTTTCTGCAACTGCAGCTGAAGACCATCGAAGATGCGTTGGTGGAATACAATGCCAACCAGCAGCGCATCTACAGCTTGGACGTGGGTGATGAGGCCCGCGAGGAAGCAGACGTAATGTATGTCCGATTCGAGCAGCGATACGGTGAGTTGTACGTTTTCATTATTAAATTGCTGGACGATATTGTCAAGAAAGAGAATGTTCCGGTAGTAGCAGCAGCTCCAGTACCGGTAGCTTCCGCTGCAGCGATGCACCTACCGCCGCTCAAGGTACCGTTGCCTACATTTGACGGTACATACGAGAACTGGTATGCATTCAAGTCGATGTTCGAAACGATTATGAATCGCTATCAGTCGGAGTCCCCAGCGATAAAATTATACCACCTTCTCAACTCGCTGGTAGGCAAGGCTGCAGGAATAATTGACCAGGAGATAATAAACAATAACGATTATGCAGCTGCTTGGTCGACATTAACCGAGCGATTCGAAAACAAACGGTTGATCATCGATAAGCATATCGATGCCCTTTTCGATCTTCCAAGGATGACGAGCGAGAACGCAACAGAATTGCGTAAGCTGATAGACGTCTGTTCGAGAAATGTTGATGCCCTCAAAAACCTTGAGCTTCCAGTTGAAGGATTGGGAGAAAGTATACTCATCAATCGAATCACAAAGAAGTTAGATGACGAAACTCGCGAGGCATGGGAATTGGACCAATCCGCAAACGAAATGCCGGATTACGATTCAACGATGGAATTTCTGAAAGAGCGATGCCGAGTGTTGGAGAAGATCCGTGTTCCGGAGAAGCGCATCGTTAAACCCGTGAAACTACTGAAGCCGACCGTAGAAGTGAGAACCAAGGGTAGCAGTCTAGTGGCAACCGCTGACAAATGTCCACAGTGTTCAAACAACCATGCGTTATGGAAATGTGACTTCTTCAAGAAGGCAAACCTGACAGATCGATACAATACCCTTCGACGCATCGGAGCGTGCTTCAACTGCCTCCAAAAGGGACATCGGACAGTCGAGTGTTCATCGGAACATTCTTGCAAGAAGTGCAACAAACGGCACCACACCTTCCTTCATCCAAACGAGACATCTACAAAAAAGAGTGAAGCTCCGTCAGCGGTAAACTCAAAAGACGATCAGCAGAATCAGAAGCGAGAGGTACCTGCTGGGCCTAGTACTTCAACACCTGCAATCAGTAAGGAGGAACAGCAGTCAAACTTCTGTACTCGACCAAAGTCGGGTAGACAGATACTACTCTCAACAGCGGTAGTACTGGTCTATGGAAAAGCGAACAACCCGTACCCTTGTAGAGTTCTTCTTGACTCGGGGTCACACACAAACTTCGTTTCGGAACATTTCGCTACGTTGTTGGGATTGAAGAAGCAACCTGCTAACTTTTCGATCGGTGGGTTGAATGAAACGCAAACGAAGGTTCGATTCAATATACACACGCAGCTGAAATCTAGAGTAACTGATTATACTGCTTGTCTTGAGTTGCTCGTGGTACCGAAGATAACTGGAGAGCTGAAGAAGATATTGGAGAGCTTGTGAAGCGATTCTGGGAAATCGAAGCGTATTGCGATTCCGAGATTCGGGATGAATCAATCGAAGAGGCTTGCATGAATCATTTTCGTGAAACTCATGAGCGGACTGCAGAAGGACGATACGTTGTTCGTCTTCCGTTTAACGACATGAAGTTGCAGCTTGGTGACTCGCGAACGATGGCAGAAAGGCGCTTCCTGACGTTAGAGAAGAGGTTGGATAGAGCACCAGAACTAAAGGAGCAGTACATGGCGTTCCTACGAGAATACGAGCAGCTTGGCCACATGAAGCTGAACAACGATGTAACCGATGAAGATCCACACTCGGTATTCTATCTCCCTCATCACTATGTCTTGAAGCCCAGCAGTACGACAACAAGGCTTCGCGTGGTGTTCGATGGTTCTGCTGAATCGAGCACTGGTATCTCTATCAATCAGACGCAGATGATCGGACCTACAGTGCAGAATCACTTGGTTTGCATCGTATCGAACTTCAGGGTTTTCAAATACGGCTTCACTGCGGACGTCCCCAAGATGTACCGTCAAGTTGGAGTACATCGAAACGATAGGCGGTACCAAAAGGTTGTAAATAGATACGACAGCAACCACCCGCTCCAAACGTATGATTTACAAACGGTAACATACGGATTAGCTTCGTCTCCGTTCTTGGCCACGATGGCGCTTCTTCAACTAGCCAATGATGAAGAGCAGCAGTTTCCACGAGCTGCAGCCGCAGTCAGGAAATCCTTCTATATCGACGATGTACTGACTGGAGCGAACACACTGGAAGAAGCTCTAGAGTTGAAGAATCAGATTATCGGATTACTGAAGAAGGGTTGCTTCAGTATGCACAAGTTTTGCTCGAATTCGGAGGCATTACTGGAGGATGTACCGGAAAACATGCGAGAAAGTGTTATCAACATCGAAGACCCAACCATTAATGCAGTCATCAAGACTCTAGGTGTAGCTTGGCAGCCACAGGAAGATTGCTTCACATTTGTCGTTCCAGTTGACACTACAGTTGAACCGAATCGACTCACAAAGAGGTTGATTCTCAGCCAGATTGCGAAGATTTTCGATCCATTGGGTTTCGTGGGCCCTGTGGTGACAGCAGCGAAGTTGATCATGCGGGAATTGTGGTCTCTCAACTTGGATTGGGACGAACCTGTGCCCACTGAAATGGCGAATCTTTGGACGGACTTTCGAAACGAGCTGCACTGTCTAAATGAGTTGAAGATACCGAGATGGATCCTTTCGGATGAAGCATGTGCTGTGGAGCTCCACGGGTTTGCAGATGCATCGGACTTGGCATATGGCGCTTGCCTGTACAGCAGGTTGGTGAAAGGCGATGGATCGGCTGATTTGAAGCTGATCTGCAGTAAATCAAGGATTCTTCCGAGAAAGAAAGGAAAGCAGAAAGAGATCACCACCCCGCGAGCGGAGCTGTTGGCGGCTCAACTTCTAGCAAGGCTTACAGTGAAACAGTTGGATGCCCTCGATGTCCAATTCGAATCCGTGGTACTTTGGAGCGATTCACAGATAGTATTGTGCTGGTTGCGCAAATCACCCGATTATCTTGCAGTGTACGTCGGGAACAGAGTCCGAGAAATCCAACGATCGACGGATAATTTCGCTTGGAAATACATCCCTTCCAAGTCGAATCCAGCTGACACGATATCCAGAGGCATACAACCCAAGAATTTGAAGGCGCATGAATTGTGGTGGAATGGTCCACCAAACCTTCGATATCCTGACGGGCGATTCGATGAACCACCACCTATTGCCGGACCTTCGTAGCGTTGTGCTCGTAACGACACGTAGTCATCCGAGATTGGAACTTTTCGATCAAATAAGCCGATATAGCATCATACAACGTACCATGGCGTATGTTGTTCGATTCTGTGACTACGTCAAGAATGGCAAGAAAACTTTGACCAACGGGCTGCCTACTGCATCTGAAATGACACGAGCAAGCACGTTGATTGTCCGTATGGTGCAGAATGAAGTTTTCGAATCGGAAATCAGCACGCTGAAAGCAGGGAAGGAGTTCAAATTTCCAGTACGTAATTTGAATCCATTCGTCGACGAAAGTGATGGAGTCCTACGTGTGGGAGGTCGATTGAAAAATGCGGCCATTCCATATCAACATAAACATCAAGCGCTGTTGCCCGAGAAACACCCAGTGACGGTAACATTAATACGATACCTGCATCGTACGAATATGCACATCGGACAGCGAGGTCTCCTAGGAATTGTTCGACAGCAATACTGGCCGCTGAATGCGAAGAACCTGATTCGAAAGTTGGTTCATCAATGTGTTCCTTGTTTTCGGACGAAACCAACACGATCCTCACAACTAATGGGGAATTTGCCAGACTACCGAGTGCAACCTTCACCAGTTTTCGCGCACACTGGAATCGATTTTGCTGGCCCATTCAAGATTCGATCGAACACGAAAATAAGGAATGCTGCAGTACTGAAAGGCTACGTGTGTGTGTTTGTATGCATGGCTACACGTGCTCTACATCTTGAAGCTGTCTCCGATTTGACGTCCGAAGGTTTCATGGGAGCCCTTCAACGCTTTGTAAGCCGTCGAGGACTCGTTGTGAAGCTGTATTCTGACAACGCTTCAAATTTTGAAGGTGCTAATAACGAAATGAATCGACTGGCAACCCTGTTCCAGGAAGAACAACATCAGCTGAAGCTCAACGAATTTTGTGCCCAGAGAGCGTGGTGGTCATTCATTCCGCCACGCAGTCCTCATTTTGGTGGGATTTGGGAAGCCGGCGTAAAGTCGGTGAAATCGCATCTAAAGCTGATCATGGCAGAACACAAGCTGTCATTTGAACAATTTGCAACTGTGCTGACACAAATCGAAGCCGTGCTAAATTCACGCCCCCTCGTGCCAGTATCAGATGACCCGAATGACATCAATGCCATTACTCCTGCCCACTTTCTGATCGGGCGTGAGTTCCAAGGAATCCAGGAACCGTCGTATGAACATATTCCGCAAGGCAGACTGTCCCAGTGGCAACTGGTTCAAGACATGAAGCAGAAATTTTGGAAGCTGTGAATGTGAGACTACTTGCACGAATTGCAGAAGCGCCCGAAGGATTTCAAGGTCACCGATTACCAGGTGGGAGCCTTGGTCCTCATCGTAGATGAGAATACTCCGCCACTGCAGTGGCAGCTGGCTCGAATCATAGAGTTACATCCCGGCAAAGACGGCCACACACGCGTGGTTAGTCTTCGAACGAAGGATGGAACGACGAAAAGGGCCGTAAAGAAGATCTGTCTTCTGCCCTTAGACAACGAGAGAGATCAACGAGACGAGTAAGGTTTTGAAATTCCCAATTTCAACGGCCCGGAGGATGTTGAGTGTAGCAACGCACCCGCAACGCTGCCAACCTTGAAGAGAGAAACCCATTTCATTTTTTACCAACACACCTAAACTCTGTAAAGTACGCAGTCAATTTTCTATAGCAGAACAGACCAGACGCGTTTTCTTTCGTTCCACGCGGAAGAAAATTTTCATTTACAGTCCACTGTTTCTCCCGAGCTCGTTCAATGGTTACAATACATTTCATTGTACCTCTATCCCTTCAGCTTTTTTAAGGCTCATGGTGATATGTAAAATTGTCACTGTTAAAATTTCAATTTGACCAATATTTTTCAAGAATCTGACTCAGATTCTTGGGAAAACGCATTTTAAATTTTCCAATAACATCGCATTTATCCTTAAAAACGTACGGGATAGAGCCCACAAATGGCCGTAATAAAGATTGATTTGCTCTGTTGTAAGTTCAAAATTTTTATGGCACAAATATCAAAAACTGTCGTGCATGAAATTGATACCCAACATTTTTTGCGTGTAGATTAGTGATTTCAGAGCTGTAAATTTCATGTTAATTGTAATTTTGAAGATGTAAAGTGAATGTAAGCACTATCGGAAATAAGGAACTAATAGCGAATGAAGAGAAATAAGTTGCATTGGAGCAGTCCTCTCTATATTAAAGTAAAAAAAGATGAAGAAGTTACATTGGAGAATAGATCAACACAGTAAAAATTAAATTTAAATATTACATCCAAGAGGATGCACTTCAATCATGTCGAAAATCTCATGTAATTTTTATGGCCACAACAATAAACAAATGTAGTAAAAGCAGCGTAATGTCAGTTCATGCACTGTATTAATGATAATTTTGTCCTTTTTGACAAGTAATATTACACCATATTTTGACACGACTGAAGTGCATCCACTTTGATGTGATATCAACATTAATTTTTTGCTGTGAATGAACATTGGGTTTTTGCTATGTTCGTTGGGCAATGTTATATGGGACCATGTTTGAGTCTTTCGTATTACAGATCAATAACTCTCAAATCACCGAATCACGGATCCCGAAAATTTTCAATCCCGCAATGAGTATACAAAGCAAATACAGCGTGTTTATTTACAAAATTACCACACCATTGTCAGTGAGCTCGTAAATGAAACTAGGTGGCCAAATTTTATAGGTTTCGCATTGGGTGGTTTTTCCCATATTTTCCTTTCTCTCGAATCGAGATGTTCAACGAGTTCCTATGGTACCTACATGTAAACATACGTGCTGTGGGGGTCGGGATAAGCTGAGAGAAATCCGAACCGTAGTAAAATGTGGCCCCCAGAACCAGAAAGCAACAAGCATCAAACGGCACACGGAGGTTTATGGCGCGGATCCGTGCTTTCTCTAATTATGGCTTCTTCCAAACCTCAAGATTGGCTTCCATACTGACGACTGCTGGCCGCGGTTGGTTTCGGGCCGTGGTTATGGACTATTTATTTGACCGGTTGTTTGTTTGTTTTAACAATTTTTATGCTAGTTAATCTGTTCGACCACGATGTGTTCATTTGGCGGTTTCTTGGATCGGCTGTTTCTCGAACGGTGAACTAAATGGCGGCACATTTTGTGGGAGTTTGATTTTCCTCAAGGTAATAAAAGTTTCACGGGAGTTTCTTTGATGTTTCAATCGGGATTTTCTTTAATATACAGGCAAGCTCTGTAGTATAGTTTCAAGAATTTTACCCTTACCTAATGTTATGTATCATTGAAACATTTTGAAAATATTTAGCTCTTCTTAGCAAAAGTCGTGCAGTTGAATTCCTTCCCACCCAGGCTGACATTTGGTATATCGTTTTCGGTGGTCCCAGTGGCGTGCAGTGAAATGAAGTCTACTTAACCGCACCGCGCGGGTTTATCTTGTCAGCGCAGTGACTAGGGCCATTAATCTTTTCCTCCATGGAGGAATTCCGGTCTTTGGTCTCTGATGGGCCATTCTTCTTTATACGCTTTGTTTTTAGCACATCACGTTGCTGCTTTACAACTTGCAGACAGCGAACGTAAAATAAAGAATTTCCATGGCTTTTATTTTTTTCTTCTCGCTACTAAATATACCCAACCACTTTGTCACTCAAGTCGAAAGTATACCTACATCAGGAAAAATAAATTAATTCGGGCATCCGATTTTATTTTTCGTTCCTGGACGCGACAATGTGCTAAAAGTCAAATTTTCCACGAGAGGTCGCTCTGGCGCTGAAGTTGGAATTTCGTAGCCGAAAAAAAGAAAGAGTGAGTGTATGAATTTGTCAGCCAAGTGAAAATTCAAACACCGCAAAGCAGCATATAGAGGAAACATTCTTTTCGGATTTCCTGAACGGACACATTTTCAAGTCATTTGTGAAGACGAATCAAAACAAAAATTGAAACCTCAAAAAGACACCACCGTGGTTATGCTTCAGAGGAAGCAGAACGTGCAACATGCGTCATTCGAAAATACTTGCTTATTTTAAAAGTAGGATCGTATTCCTCATCGATGGTACCGAAGAAAAAAGTGTTAGGCAAAGTTGAAATGCTCAACGATCAGGATTGGCGCAGAGACTTTTTTTTCAACTTCTCCTGACATAGAGAACAATCATTGTTATTGCTACATAATATACTCATACGAATGGAAGAATGGTATATGATGGATCTGACGCGCAACTTCGGATGGGAAGTAAAGCCGTTGGTCCCCGGTTCATGAGTTGTGATGGGTCGATAGGTAGGGTCCAGGTGTGGGAGCTGCCTTCCTGGCACGTCGGTAGCATTGGTGCTCAGCACGGAAAACAAGACCGACGGAAAAAACAAACCAAAGGATCTGACGCGTTGCGGCAAATTGACAGCTAATTCTATTGTCTAACTGTCAAATTTGCGTCAACGCAAAGCAAACGGATCTAATGTGGGTGGCCCTTTAGAGAGAAATTTTTATTTTGTTACATTTAAATTAGCGAGCAATTTGCTCTAGGTTTTGAGTAAATGTTATATTGAGACGTACGTACGAACGTAAGAATTCCATAAGAACCACTTATTAATTTTAGCCACATGAAATCGGTATGAATTTCATTGAGTTGCCTTATGAAAAATAATGTTGACAAAAATAATAAAACGGAGCAGACTGGAACCGAACCATGGACGTTAATATTACGAGGCCCGAGGTGTTCACCACTCGTCTTTCAACGATAATCAATGGTTAAAGGGTTAGAAAAGCTACCACATGTTAAACGAAAATCATTCATCTTGATATCAACAAATTATATGGATTAGCATGGCATAGGGGGAACGGCTCTAATGTTGGCCTATGGATCTAAGATTGGGTCCATCGCTAAAATTCTGCTATTTATCAATTTTATCTAGATGAAGGCGTCATTGGGACGGTACTAATGGATATTTTTGGTCGCTATTGAATATTAAGCCGATTGCTGAATTTACGGCCTAAATAAGGGGCCGACATTACATCCATTTCCCCTATATAAGGTAAAATATCAAGAACATATATCAAAAATTTGTTCCCGCCATAGAGCAGTTCCACGCAGACTCGCGAATCGTTTCGGATCGATGTTTTTAGAAATACAGCTTTCCCCCGAAGAACGCGTTACCCACTGAGTTGCACCCACCGCTTTGTCTCGGTGGATTTTCAACCAAGCGCTCTGATTTTCTGCGAGTGACTAGTTCTCCATTGACCCACTCACATGCAAAAAATCAGACCGACTCGCAAACCTCGCCGAGCAAAATCGTTGCGTGCAACTCAGTGGGTAACGTGTTCTTCGGGGGATAGCTGTACTTGTAATTTTTCACAGCTGTTTGTTATTGTCCAACATGTAATTTTATACCTTACTCGATACCTTGGCTCCTTAGTTTTGTATGCAACTAACTTCTGGAAAGGGCTTATGTAAAAATGATACGCATCAATTAAAAAATACACATCTCTAGAAAGGTTTATTTGATCAAGATGAAGTTTTGGGCGAAGTTCAATAAAAAATATGCACAGACAAAAATATGTTGCCCAATAAAGAAAAAAAAATTAATATCAACAAAAAAATAAAATAATTACTCAAATTGCATATATTAAACAAAATATATTTTAATTTTTGTTTTGTAGTATAGATAACGAGTGACCTATTGACAATGTGTTTCAGTTGGACAATTCATAAAAAACAAGTTATGAATTATTGAAAATAGTAGCATTTTCCAAAAAAATACTACCTATAGTACAGCACTACTACTTGATTGTTTTGTCGCAACAATAACAGAGGTAACTCAAATAAACTTCAATTATTGCGACACTGCACAGCTGTATAAAGTCCCGATAAAGGTAACTAGTAGGCGGATAGAGCTGGAATGGCTGCAATACAAGTTATGGGCAGATACCCCATTCAAGAAGAAGGTTTCGTGATCGCCAAATTTAACGGAATATGTGGTGTGTGACGAACCTATTGAAAGACATGAGGAACGACCTCTAAACTTTCGATTTGATTTTGCGGCCCTTTCGGACTTGTTGCTAAACGTTGACTGGAATGCGATATCTACTATAATAGATGTCGATGAAATGGCGGAAATGTTTTGTTCCATTTTGAACGATTGGCTTGTTTCGAATGTTCCACGAATTCGGCCGTCAGTTTCGCTTGCCTGGAGTACTCTCCGTATACGGGATTTAAAACGCACTCCCAATGCTTGTCAACGGAAACTACGTCGTCAACGAACGCCTGGCAACAAACGA